AGCCATCCTATAAAATCAAAATGAGTTAAAAGATTATCATGTGCGTTTCTTTTTAAAAGGCACCCTATAAATCTAGAATGGAGAAAATATCACTTTTATTTATCATACAAGAGATACGGTTAAATGTTATAACAATAAATCCTGCTTTGGCTAGTTATAGATAAATGTCAGAGACGTTTATCGTGGGCTGCGTTTATCATGGGCTGACTATATTTAATTCATTGTCAGAGGCATTCGATTATCAAATTTGGTGAAATACAATTACGGCACCAATTTGTAGAATTTTGCGTCTGCAATTAAAGAAATATGAATAGATGTATTGTCATGATGGAATCAAAAGCTGATTACTTGATATGATTGAAACAAAGAAACTAATGAAGAAAAAAAATTGAATATCAGTAAACAGTTTCTTTGAAACCTTACAACTTTTGTCTGAAACGTTTTTTCTAAAAACGTTATGTAATGGCCTTATAGCACAAGAATGGCCGTAATTCAATCATAGAAGAGAACGTGAATCATAAGTCAATTTATTATATTTTGCGTACTATGCATGCCGATATAAGTATAATTTACATTCCTTTACGATAGATATAGTTATAGTCACCTTTATGTTCAGCTCCTAAATCCGGGATCTTTTTGGACACCCTATATATATATATATATATATATATATATATATATATATATATATATATATATATATATATATATATATATATATATATATATATATATATATATATATATATATATATATATATATATATATATATATATATATATATATATATTATGTTATACATATATATAACATCATTACACAGTCAATAATCACATGCATAATTTTCGTACGATGCTGTATGTTTATGAAATGTATATAAGTATATCATATTCAAAGTGTTTTAGCAAATGTATACACTTATAGGTCAATGTGTATGTTAACTAACAGCAAGTTATAATAAGTATATTTTTACTAAATACACTCTGACTATGGCTTAGACATATCTTCGGATGTAACCATGTATTTGAAATGTATACACGTGTAATGTAATAGCACTTTTTCCTTTATTCCCAATGCCATTTTAACTTAGGATGTAACATGTATTGTCAGTACGTAAATACATTGCATATATATATGTAGCTATCCCATCTCTTTTTATTATGTTTAATGGGCTTTTTACAATTATAAGCCATAAATCAGCCATAAATAAGAAGTCATACGCTAAAAATTGACTGTGATTGATCAATTTTTAGCTTCTGACTTCTGATTTATAACTAATGG